TAATTGGTACCTATTTACTAACGGCTTAAAGTGTCACAGCATCAAACTAGATTCTTTACAAGAAATTTCTAGCTTATTAATTTTTAATTAGTGCCTATTTACTAACGGCTTGAAGTGTCACAGCATCAAGCTAGATTCTTTACAAAAAAATTTCTAGCTTATCATTTTTTAATTGGTGCCTATTTACTTACGGCTTAAAGTGTTACAACATCAAAACTAGATTCTTTACAAGAAATTTCTAGCTTATCAATTTTTAATTAGTGCCTATTTACTAACGGCTTGAAGTATCACAACATCAAACTAGATTCTTTACAAGAAATTTCTAGCTTATCATTTTTTAATTGGTGCCTATTTACTTACGGCTTAAAGTGTCACAACATCAAAACTAGATTCTTTACAAAGAAATTTCTAGCTTATCATTTTTTAATTGGTGCCTATTTACTAATGGCTTAAAGTATCACAACATCAAACTAGATTCTTTACAAGAAATTTCTAGCTTATCATTTTTTAATTGGTGCCTATTTACTAACGGCTTAAAGTGTCACAGCATCAAACTAGATTCTTTACAAAGAAATTTCTAGCTTATCAATTTTTAATTGGTGCCTATTTACTAACGGCTTGAAGTGTTACAACATCAAACTAGATTCTTTACAAAGAAATTTCTAGCTTATCATTTTTTAATTGGTGCCTATTTACTAACGTCTTAAAGTGTGACAGCATCAAACTAGATTCTTTACAAGAAATTTCTAGCTTATCATTTTTAATTGGTGCCTATTAACTAACGGCTTGAAGTGTTACAGCATCAAGCTAGATTCTTTACAAAGAAATTTTTAGCTTATCAATTTTTAATTGGTGCCTATTTACTTACGGCTTAAAGTGTCACAACATCAAACTAGATTCTTTACAAAAAAATTTTAAATGGTTTCACAGACATTAAACTTGAGAAAATATTTTTAACTAATAAATCGTTTTCTGACAACCTGTCAGACATCCATGTCGGTTACATCCTCTAACTCCGGACTTCAAGAACTATACAAGAAAAAAGAAACGATAGAATTAAATAACTCAACGCACCCAAAGAAGATTAATGAAACTGACCTAGTAATGTCTGTAAAGAATAATCGAGCGTGAAGTGTGAACAGGAAAGTAACTTAGGACTTTCTATATATATTTTTTTCCTAAATCGTGATGTAGTATTTCATTAATTTATAGAAAATCTTTTGGATACCAAGATAGAAAACTTGCCGCCAGAATCGATAAAGAAACTTTGGATTTGTTGAGTCAATTTTTATGATGATGACTTTCTTGGTAATAAAATTTGAAAGTGTTGAAGCTGACCTAAATGTAATATTGTAATCAAACGTAGATATTAAAGAATAATCGAACGCGAAGTGTGAGCAGGAAAGTAACTTTATTTTGATTTTCATTTTGAATTAATGTATTATATGGTTACTAATGTTTTTTCTTTTTTTGAAGAAAAGTAGAGTCTATTTTTCGTTAATAGGAAAGTAACTTTAATTTGATTTATTGATTTGAATATAATATGTGGTTACTAATTTTTTTCCCTTTTTTGAGGAAAAGTCATTTTGGTCGTTCAATTCCATTTTTTTCGAAATAAACCAAGAATCTGTTTTTTCACCAAATATCTTTAATTACCTATGTGAGCCCACCGGACTGGTCGAGATTGTGAGCCTCTTTCTATCATCGTTTCTAATACCAAAATCGTATCAAATGAATTTAGAGAAGTAATAAATTTATTTGTAGTTTATGTATTTTATTTCATAAAATTGGATTAATAGCTTCTTTAGATTTTATGACTGTGTGCTCTATGGGCCGGTCAAGAATGTGTGCTCAATGGGCCATTCTTTTCTATTTCATTTATTTGTAGAAAAATCATTTTCTGACAATAGATATTACAATAACCTGTCGCATAGATTAAACAACATCGAAGTATTATGTGCGATAAAGGAACATGAAGTATAATTTATGATTTTTATATTATATATTGCTCTCATAAGATGATCTTGATACAATTGAAGTTTGCAAGCATAATTTCTGATGAGAGTTTTTTGACCATTATTATTTTTAAATAATTTCTTTTCTCTTTCGCATAGACAAACAACATCGGTTGCAAGAAAGCTATATGGAAGTTTAATTTACAATTCTACTATGTGTATAATTTTTTTTATTAAATTTACTCTCATATTTCACTTTTCTAAAGTTCTGAAATAGGGTCGGCTCACTTTGTATTAGACCGTGTATCCGTTGCCGCTATCATTATATTATATATTATTTCTTTTTTTTTTTAATAATATTTCTTTAGAGAATAATGCTCAATTAA